AGGCAATTTTGAATTTCTATGATGATCTTCTTGTTTTAGGGTATTATCTCATTGCGTGTTCCATGACTTTCAGGACAAACACGAAGCAGTTGTTGAAAGGGAGCAGTGCAGTGCGGTAGGGAGAGACATTTGTGCAGAAAACTAACGACTATAGGAACAAAACTGGATTTCAACTTCCAGGTCTCAATTTTCTCACTTATAAAATTTGAGAATCAAAAGAAATGAACTTAGAAGTTTCCTCTATTATGTCAATTAATAGCAAAAACATGGTAAGACTTTAAAAGATCACCCACACATTGAAATGATCAAATTTTCAAAGAGCCTAATCTAGAAAAAAATAATCCATGCCAATTTTTCATTGCAGAAGTAAATCAGTGTTATCAACCCAAAGGCTAAAAGTGTTTGGTTATGTCACAATCATTAAGCTCCCAGGACTTTGGTTTTGATTCAGTGTTACTTCTTCCAAAGCTAACACACACAAGCAGAAACACCAAGGTTGGCTACATAAAGGTAGAAGTCATTGTGCATGGTAAAGTTAACCAAATACGCTCATCCCATCATCGTGTGCAGATATAAGCAAAGTTATGATGCTAGTAGAGACCATACATTTCATAGACAGGAGCAAACCATTTAGTAGATATGACCGGAGACAATGAATATACTTCTAGAAGTTAAGTAGAATACTATACATCTTGTCAAAACATAAAATCCATTGGGTCATATTCTAAGGCTCAAAAAGATACTATTATCCTTTTGATTGTACTTACTTTTGTGTTCATATGAGAAAAGAATCAAAGATTAAATTTTGTAACTTTCTTATGTATGTTTATTTAAAATGTCCATTTCTCTGTTGCGTAATATATCTAGGGCAAGTAGTTAAATTCTGCTTCTAATATTGTAGAAATAGTCATCCACTATTTAAAAACTACAAAGAAACAGATAATGTGTAAATATATATATGCACATATATATATCATATCTTTAACTTCCTTATAAGATTTTGAATTCTACTGTAATTTATAGATAGAAGACTTTTGCAGAAACTGGCAGGATGGACCAGCTCTACATGGAACTAACTTAAAAAGGAGAAATGAAGGGAAGTCCCTTGCTCACATTCCAATGGAAAGCATTACTTTTAATTGCCGTTTGTTTACAAACAAAGGTTTATGTAAAATTCAATCCCTTGTTTACATGTGAGTGTTTAGGTTCTCTAACTGACAAGGATTCCTCAGTTCTCCTTTCCTATTTCTTCTCATTTGCTACAGTAATTCATAACTTGGATAGTATGTTAATGCTGCTGCTTCTAAAAATATTATTAATTTGTATCATTGCATGCCTAGATATATAGCCAGGCATTTATATACCTGTCATTCATCAGCTTTGATTCTCTTAATTAGAATTTTAAAATTCAGGCTAATGTGTTCCACTTAACAACAAAACCATCTTGCAATACATACGTGTGTATGTTAAACCATTCTTTCTCATCTTTATAACAAGAATAAAGTAGGAATATAATATTAAACAGAATGAGCCATTGAGCAAACCAAACATAATAAAAAATCAAAATATGCATGCTGTGCAAAAACATAGTCACATAGATTTTGCCTTGTATAAATTTCACCCTGCCTATGTGGGTTTTAACATATTTCCATGGCTTTAAATAGGGAAAGTTCAGCCCAAGGGAAACCCAAGCTTGATTAGTTTTCCCTTTTACTACAGCCTGCAGAGTGTAAAACACAGCACATCAGAATTGAATTTGTCATCTCCAGACCTCACAGGAATTTTAGGAACTAAATAGTTAGGAAGCCATCCTGGTACTTCTCTTTGCTTTAATCAAAGTCGAAGTTTCAATTTAAACATTCAGGAAATCTCCCTTATTTAAAGCAATCAACTTGTTGCTGACAGGGTCTGGCCTTACTGTGTTTAATTTTTTGGCATCAAGCAAAACTTGATTGGTCACAGCCAGTGCACGAGTGGCCCTCCCCTTCTTTCGGGGAAGAGAAGGATTCCAGATCTTTGCTGCCCTGAACACGAGTGTAGAGATATTGGTACCTTTTCAAATCAGCAGTACATTGGCATAAATCTTAATTGGAAAATGGCACTAATGTTTAAAACCTGTGCAGGATTTCAGAGTCAAACAACTGTCCCTACAGCAGCAGAAGAACATTTGGACGCAAAAGCGGTCATGTTTCCTTATTCTTCTATATATTTCTCTCTACTTTGTCATACTTTTTGGAATATGTGCAAGTCACAGCCTACATTTGATTTTCAATATTGCAGTTTACTATAGATCAATTAGAAAACTGATTTATGGAAGCATAGATGGGAAGGGTATAGCATGTAGAAAGGCTAGGCATCAGATTTTCCTAGGAAAATACTGAAGAAATAGTTTTATGTGACACAGATTGAGGTATAGAGGCAGACTTTCTATTATACTTAAGAAATCTGGAGGGGGAAAAATAGCAAACAAACAAAATTAAACCAGGTACCTTTTCATTGAAGAGAATTATTAATGATCTGAAAAAATAAATGAGGCTGTCAAGAGCTTGTAAAGACTGCATCTGCTCTGAGAACTCTAGATTGCTGGTCTCCTTCCACTGAGCTCTCAACGAAGGGAAAAAATGATGTGTAGCCTCGTTAGTTTGGTTACCCCCAAGGAGATACAGCCAAAGCATTACTAAACATCTTCCATGCTAGATCCAGCTCCGCTCCTTTGCAATCCTCTAATATAGTTCTCCAGTAATCTGTCTCTCCTAATAAAAAGCTAAGAGGTGTGACATATTGTATAGTAAGCTTACTAGTTCTTGTGAGATTATCTAGAAGGTTCCCTATTAAAACTTTTAAGAAGGAAAATTTTCAAATACACATTAAGCTCTGAAAGTATTTCATCTTGTCAAAGATTTTTAAATGCATAAGATTTTAGGGTGCCTAGAAAGCTAAAGTCAACATAGAATTGGGTTACTTCCCAGAATACTTATTTGGCTTATGTACTCATGTTAGGGTTACTATGATGAAATACCATACTAGGTGGCTTAAAGAGCAAAAATCTATTTTTCTCACAGTTCTGAAGACTACAAGTTCCAGATGAGGACCTGGCAGGGTTTACTTCTTATGAGGTCTTCTTGGGTTGCACGATACCTATTGGTTCCATGGCCACATTACCTTTATTTGTGTCCATTTGCAGTGGGATACAGAGGATGTCTGTGTGAGGGGATCTCTCCTTATAAGGATGTTAATCTTGTCATTTCAGGAACACATCTTCAACACAGCCTTATTTAACCTTAATTACATGCTGACAGGCCTATTTCCAAATGCAGTTACACTAGGAGTTAGGGCTGGAGATACACAAGTCAATCCATAGCATCCCATTAACAAGATCTCAGACTCGTGTTCTTTACACATCAACAAAAGAAAAACAATTCTCTTTCTCACTAGAAGGCACAAATTCACAAATTCTTCCTCCAAGGGCACACATGTACATTGTCAGAGATAAACTACATACTTGGCAATGAACCTGCACCCTTGTGTGTAGTAGTGCAGAAATCTTGTCCACTTTCACTGGGATAGTTCATGTTTCATCATGCTAGTGGGGTAAAAGAGACCAATTTATCATATAATTCCACTCACGTCCTAGTCAAAAATCAACTGCTGTAGAAAAAAGATATTGAGACTCTCTGAATACTACCTTGTTATTTATCAAATGGCTTGTGATTATTGTAGTGAACAATTTCATAATTTTTATACAAATGTTTTTTCTCTTACTCAAAAAAATAAAACTGTGCAGAAATTATTCATGCAGAATAAGAAAAGGAGGGTTACACACCTTTTTGGATGCAACCAAATGCCTGTCACAATTTCATTTTTCCACTATGGCATACCACACCTCAGAGCCCAAAGGCAAAGAAATCACTTAAGTAAGATATATGCCACACATCACAAAAATGCAGCTGCCTGTCCTGAAAGATGATGTAATATTTAAGGCAAGCTTATTATGTAACTGAGTTTTCTGTATTTTATCTTATAACTGTCACCATGTGTATGTGATAAGTGAGGGCAACTATTTGATACACTGTATTTTATTTCAAACTCATGCACCCTTAGAGGCAGAGCTTCTCCAGAGTGTGGTCCAGGACACCCTGGGGGCCCTCACTGAGTTAATAATGTATCATACAGAGGAAGAATATGACTGGAGCAGGGGTACTGAATCTAGACTGATGACTGCAGAAAGCCAGTGAAGTAGTAATTCTTACCCACAAAAGGGAAACAAAGACCAGAAGTTTTACAAGGTTAAAATATAAAGATGTATTACTCTGACATCAGAGATGCCAGGTAAGCCAGATACTAGGACCACTCTTCTATCTCAGGCTTGTATTTTCCTTTAGCAAGCCACAGGACCTCAACTTTCCTTCTTTCCCTAACTGCACCAAATATCTGCTTGGTATTTCCACTACCTCACCCTCACCCAAGGCTTAAAATAGGACATCCAAGGTTCTCTGTGCATCCCTATCCCAGTGCCACCAACAACACAATCTTCTCTGTTTGTTCTTGCTTCCTGACGAATGACTAGGAAGGAAAGCAGAAAACAAGAACAATAGCAAAGATAAAAACTTACAGATATCCTCAAAGGCCCACACCTCTCTGAGGTGATGACTGGACTTACCTTTTACTTTTACTTCTGGGAACAGGATTCCCTGCTTACCTTTTACTCCCTGCAAGACGACAGATCTTGTCCTCAGAGGCAGAGTGACTTGGCTGAGGGAGGGAGTATCTGGGTGATCTTATTGGTGTTCCCATGGCATAAGCACGTACTTTGGATTTTTGATGCTTTGGTAATGGATGAAACTATATTAAATGGCCTGTTTCCTTCACTAGAAAGGTCCCCACTGTGATGGTTAATACTGATTGTGAACCTGATTGGCTTGAAGTTCCTAAGAGATTAGTCAAGCACATTTCTGGGTGAACCTAGGTGGATCATGAGGGTCTGACCTTGGAAACTGTACCTGGTCACTGGCCCCTTCCTTGTGTGCTCTTTCCTTACCTTTGCTTCCTCCTCCACCCACGAGTTGAGCAGCTTTCCTCTGTCACGTTCTTCCACCACGATGTTTGTGCCTTAGAGTCAGCCAACATGGACCAAAACCTCTGAAACAATGAACCAAAATACGGTCTTCTCCTTTAGGTTGTATATGTTAGGTACAACAGAAAGATGACTAATGCACCCACAAAACTTTTATTCACAGAGCATTTTATATGTTTTCATATTATTTATATTTTTAAACTACATATAAAAGTTGAAAAAAACTCAAACACTGAAATGGGGTATACAGTATAGTGAAAATTCTACCCATTCTCTTTACCTCTGTTTGATAATCTACCCTCTCCCGCTGTCTACTGGGACATACTAGGTTATCAACTACATATACAAGGTATTTTATACATAGGTCTGTGTATATATGCTGCTTTATGTATTTATACCTATATTTTTAAAGAAATACACACACACACACACACATACACACACTGGTTTAATACAGTGAAGTGTATTTTGCATTTTCACAGAAGCCACGGTGCAGTCTTAAGCCTTAGTAATCTTAGAAGTATGAACACCACAAATGTTTACAAAATTTTAAAATGTCAATCACTGAAATTTTATCTATACTTGTTTAGTTTTTTTATATTTTTGATAATACATTTGTCTTTTTTATCAGGAAGGAAAAACTTTCTTAGAGACTGCATTAGACTTCCAAAGTTAAGATGATGATAACTCTATCTTCCATGGAAACAGCAAAAGAACGGGGGTACCATAAATGGCTGTTATTATAACCACTCAACATCCACAGCTAACACATTAATCGGATACATTTCAGGTACTTTCCCAGTAACATTCACTGAGCCTAATTTTTTACTATTGTTCTGTCTAGCCCAGATTCTTCTTTAAATTCCAGCTCTCCACTTTGTCTTATCACACTGTAGATTACTACTTAATGATTCTCTAATTGTTTTGCTTATTTTAATCTGTTCTCTCCTTTCAGTTTATCAAATGCCTTAAGGCAGGGACTTCCTACTTTGTTGCTCATACCACCTGGCAGAGTTATTATCCTACAGTATTTGTATTTATAATAAGGAAAAAATAGAAACAAAGCTTTTGTACATAAAGAAGGGAAGAGTAATTGAAGGATGGTAGGAGAATGGGAAAAAAGAATCAAACATATCATGTACAGGTACAAATTCCCTATGATGAACGTGATCATTATGTATACCTAAAACGTATCAATGAACAATTAATTTTTTTAAATGTAGAAAGCTATTAGTTAGTTAGTGCATTTTGACATTAAAGTTTTTTAAATAGTGGCAAATGTTTCACACAATCTAGTAGGTCAGAAACTATTTTGCTTTACATTGTCAAGTGAAAAAGATAAGTTCAATGTAATATGTATAATATGACTCTATTTCAGTGAAGCAAACATACTATGTGTATTAGTCAGTTTTCTGTCATGGTGACAAAATAGCTGAAATAAACAACTGAAAAGAAAGACATGTTTATCTTGGCTCACAATTTCAGAGGCTTCTGAAATCCACAGTCTGTTGGGCTTGGCTCTTTGGGCCTGTGGCGGCACAGCATACCATTGAGGGAGCATGAGAAGGAGGATGTCTGTTCACTTCAGAGTGGCCAGAATGTAGGGGGAAAGCACACTCTCAGTGACCCAACTTCACCTCGGTAGGCCCCACTTCTTAAGGGTTTCACCATCTCCTGATAGAGCTATAGGCTAGCAATAAAGCATTTAGCATGTGGGCTCTTGAGATCCATTTATTTTTTTCATTCAATTTTTATTTTTCATTAGTCCGTGTTTGTAGTACCTAAAGATTATATTATTTCTCATGGGAAGCTGGTGCATGTACACAAACAATAACATGCAGTGTGTGAGAGTAAGAAGGAAGATCTATCCATCTTTCTATCTACCCGTTTTCCTTTTATTGTTGAAAAGCCTAGCTGGGAGGAGGAAGAAGAGGAACAGAAAAAGAAGGAGTGTCCTTTGATGTCATCATTTCACTTGGTAATGCAAGGACAAAGTACTTCAGAAAGTTTTTTTTTCAGTGAAATTACAATTCGATAGGAAAAAGAAAAGGCTAACATTTCAAAATAAAATGATACATGTTCTAATAAAATGCCAAAGTTCCATATATGGAATTCAGATGAATGATTAATGACCAGGGTAAGAGATAAGCAGACCAAATTAGCAGCTTCTATTTGCATTAGCTCTTCAAAAGTAGCTCCCTTTACAAAGAAAAAGCACAAACCACCTAAATGATGTCTAAAAGTCAGTGTTTCAAACACAACCCTCCTGTATACTGTCTAGTTTATCAAATAAGTCAAAAAATTCCAGGAAAACTATTGCTTGCATTATGAATACTAAGATGCAGGTTAAAAATTATATTTAATATCAGTCAACTGAAACAGTCATTCAAGCATACAATGGGAAAGTACCCTTGTCAACATGCAAGATAACAGGCCCTGCACCAGAAGTAAACCAGGGAGAAGATTAGATGTTCTACAGTTTTATCTTTACTACTTCTGCATTCATTAGATTTTCATGAGAATCTGCATTTAGACAGAAAGAATATATTTGCTGCAGATTAGTAAAGGTGTTATCTATTGTCCCAGATTCCTGAATCTATTTCCTTCATGTCCCTACCAAGAGTCCATTTCACAAGCAGAAACCACAATATAAAGCTAACCTTTACCCTGAAGACTAATCTTTACCCTCCATTTCTTTCTCTTCATGATTTCTTTCCCTCCAGATTGAAATGCAAGCATCCGAGATAATGAACAGGACAGTAAATCATTCAAATGTGAGGGGAGATTGCAGGGATCTTGATCATCGGATTGAAGATAGCTAAAAATTTATTGGACACCTTTAAAATATTTGAGTCCTTTGTGTAAACTAACACATGTAGTCTTCACCACAATTTCGCCCATATGGGCAGATCTATATCCATCAGCACCCTAACCAGCACAATAGGCGAGAAAGGCAATATAGTTCTGGCAAAGGTAGCCAACTTCCCCAGGTTCTCACCTCAGAATACCTAACACCAACACAGAGGGATCATCACACTGGTGTCATCTCCCTGCTGTGCTTCTATGCATTTTAGAGGTCATCTTTTAATTGGACAGAGGTCTCAGCCCAGTCAGGAAAGCACATACGGCATCCTCTACCAAGCAAAGTACCGAAAGGGTTCTCCATCTCTAATCTTGGCAATGTTTTAGACATTTTGGATCTAATTTATCCTTGTAATGTTTTATCATCAGCATAACTATGAAAAAGCTTGAATCAGTTTTTCAAAAAGTTATATGAATGCTTTTTAAAACACTACTCAAATGATAAATAGAAAGAAAAGAAAAATTTTAGCTTAGTATTTTCTGGTGGATTAAGCCTGTTGGCCAGTTAGAATTTAGTCCCATCTGATGCTGAGCCAGGGACTTGCTTTTAGTCAATCTTTTGGGAAACTTACAGGGGAAAAAAAACTGTTATTGTCTTCACGAGTTCCAAGATTTTGGTGTCAAAGAGATCTCTCAAGTTTTAATGGAATCTGTTGCTGCAAATCTTTCTTGATATCTTCGCTTAGCATAATATATATTCAACAGGTTTAGTGCTAAAGTTTTACATTGTTGGTCAGTATGACAGGAGTGGGCTTTGCTGCCTATACTTAGGGGAAGAGTACAAAAGATCAACTGCAGTAGAGAGACACAAAGGCCTCCATCTAAGGGTCTGAGATGCCCACTTCCTCCCACTCTGTGCCACACCTCATTGGCGAGCTCCAATCTGGCACAAAGATGCACAAGTACAAGACCTGAGTTCTCCTACAAGCTTTACCCTGAAGCTCAGCTCCACATCCCGACTGCCCGTCTCAGAAATGGATGGGCTCAGCCTTTCTTGACCTCCTGTCCTATCACAAACAAAGGCGCGTTCACTAGATTCCCTCAGACCCTCTAGGTCTCACCTACCCAGCACACCCTGGGGCAGTGACGTCACAGCTTTCAATGATGCAAACAGCCAGCGCGGCACACATGCAGTAGCTTCGCCATCACCGCCTTAAGACTTTGAGTTTGGGATGCTCCCAGCTTGAGAAAGGAAAACAAAATTATAATTTTAATTTTGGTGCTATGCATCTGTCAGAAAATAGGGGGCCTGGAATAGCCGCATGCTAAAAAATACTGGTCAAAACCACGAGGAGACTTTTTTAAAAAAATAAGAGGTTACCCAAAATCCTGGCTCCTCTTCCTTCCCAGCTGCTGCCGCACAGACCCCTTCACTATTCTCAGGGCCGGAAAGGCTTCTATGCACAGGGTTATTTGTGGTTAACATAAAGTAGACTGCAGACTTGGTGCCATTTGCTTTGCTTTGTTAAAAATAACATTAATACACATTCATTGTAGAAAATTTAGAAAATAGAAAAAAAGCATAAAGGAAATAAACATTGCTAATAAGCCCACCACTCCACTCGTTTTCTTAATAAAATCATGATTTAAAAGCAGAGAGATCAAAGGAACAAATATATACCCCAAAGTTTTTTGGTTTCATTTTACATAGCTTGGTCCCCAATGTTTAGTTAGCCAAGAAACTGGTAGCAAAATAACTAAGATAAGGCGTTGTACCTTAGAATCATGGCACCTTAGAGGCACAGTAATAAATGATCATCTTTCCAAACCTGAAACACTATGCAGGAATCTCTTCATGCTCCCTGAGAGCATATGTATCAGAATCACTCACTGCTTCCAGAAATGCTTTTACGGAGAGTTCGCTCAGTTTTATGAAGTTCAAATTGCTAAATCCTACCTCCCTCTTGTCCTCTACTCCTTGGTCCTAGTCAATACTCTGGTAAAACACTGTACATTTAATTCTCTCCTGTGCTATTTTAGCAATCAGTCACTGAATCTCCCAAATATTCTGACCTCAAGAACAACTTATTCTGGATATTTTATTCTGGATGAGTACTGCTTTATTCAAGTCATGGTCTTCACAACAGAACAAAACTCTCACTTTAATGAATGAAATGGGGATGTCATCCTCTTCCGTGATGTTGTCAATTAAGATCAATCAATATCTAATGATCAAAATCAGTTTAAAAAGACATATTCTAGTTATAGTGACTGACAATCAGCTCAGCATCACTGTCCACATCCTGTATTTCCACAGTGACATAGGTCAGAATCACCCTACTCCTCTAGCCGTAAAAGGAAAACTTAATGTCAGTACCTCCTGAATATGCAGGAGGTACTGTTACAGGACATACTGCTATACTGTGCTGGCAAATTTCATGTGTCAACTTGGTTAAGCTCTGGTGCCAAGTTCTTGAGTTAAAAACAAGTCTAGATCTTGCTGTGAAGATGTTTTAAAGACGTGTTTAACATTTATACCCGTAGACTTTCCTAAAACATTATTTACCATAATATGAGTGTACTGTATTCAATCTCTTGCAGGACTTAAGAAAAAAGACTGTAGTCCCCCAAGAGTGAAGGAATTTTGCCTCTGTATTGCTTTGGACCCAAGGTCCATTGGCTCTTACTGGAATTTCCAGCTTACCAGCCTATTGCCCCACAAATGTCAAGCTACATAATCAAGGGAAGAAATTACTTAAAATCAGCCTCAATCTCTCTCTCTCTCTCTCTCTCTCTCTCTCTCTCTCTCTCTCTCTCCCTCTCTCTTTCTCTCTCTTTCTCTGTCTGTCACTCATGCATTTGCAGCATTCTTCTCCTCTTCCTTTTCTTTCTTTCTCTACAATTCTTTACTTCCTTTTCCAGTGCTTAGGACACATAGCCAAACATGTCCTCCTAGCGAAATCTATCTCATATTTTGGTCTCAAAATAAATACCTTTATTTCTATATATGAATCATGGTTTTCTGGATCCATCTCCAAGACTTTCTTTGCCACTTCTACTTAGTGAAATGCCTTAAGACTTACTATTACCAATGAACCACAGTTCTTCCCTGAAAGTACTATCTAGCACCTCTCTGCAGGAAGCCTCATGGTATAAACTCACGTGGGTCTGATCACTGACACCTGTAGCAACACCCATAAAATACACACACCTCTGTTCTCTGCATAGTTCTGTTCTAGATCCTGTTGGTGTGGTTTCTTGTTGTTTTATCCATGTTCTTTTCTTTAGGACTTGATTTAATTCAAGTTTGTATTTGTCCTTTATATGAAAAGATCCTTTAAGGACACTGAATAGACCTTAAATCCTTCCAGAGCTATTCTGATCATCAGGAGTTCCATGATAAACATTTTTTACTTTAACTTATTTAAATAACTTGAGGCTTATTGGTATGAGTGAAGGAAAGAACTAATCACAGAACTGGCTAGAATTGCCATGCCATTGAGCCCTATTTGGATTTTGTTTTAAAATAACTGGAATATTTAAATTATTGCCTTATATCAGTCAGGGTTTACTAGAGGAGCAGATATAATACAAGATAAACAAATGTACAAGAAATTACAAGTTTGGCTTACAATGGTCAGCTACAGAGTTGGATGAGGAAGCGTGTAGAGGGTGTCTGCACGCTGGAGATTGAGAAGCCCAGCTGCAGGCCTGGAGCTCACTGTAGTGTCCGTGCAAGTCCGTATTGAAAGGCTGATGGGCCTGCGGCGGAGTGCTGAAGAATCTACAATGAAGGCTGGAGAGCCAACACCAGAAGGCTGAAGAGTCCAGATGGAAGCCCAACAGTCTGCACCAGAAGCCAGGAGATGACCAAGCTGAAGGCGAAGACTGGAGCTCCCCAGAAGAACCAGCAGCCAGTCCTTCCTCAATTCCTTTTTTTATGCAGTCTACCCGCTCTGGGGGGATGGGGGTTGTCCTCTACACCCACACCCTCTGCACTCCCTCCTCTTGCACAGGCTCAGGATGAATACAAAGTAAGCACCCTGCTCCCTGCTGAGTCACATAGTTAACCTTCGAAACTTCTCAAGTTAACACAATAAACAACATCCCAGAAGGGTAAGGGCGTGTCCTTTTCACCCCAAGATGCAGAACTACTGAGTCACTTAGCCAAAGCTCTAGACTCCCCAAGTTGACACAGTGTATCAACCGTAACATGCCTTTTATCCAATTGCTATCAAGACTGACATCCTAGGGCTCCATTGTTAAGCTGTAAGGATTTCCCAAAGCATACATGCAGAGAACATTAAATGAAATTGTATAATGCTTCTCAACTCACCTGGAAATCTTTTGAAAATGCAGATTTTGAACAGAAGGTCTGGGCTGAGCCTGAAACACTACAGCCCTGACAACCACACAGGTGATGCTAATCAGAGGCCATGCTGTGCTTGATGTGCAGCAGGTGGAGAGGACACAGGCGTTGAGATCAGAAGGAAGTGCAAGCCATGACTCTTGAACTTACTGACACTGGACAATGCCTGGGGGAACTAAATACTGGCAAAGATCAAATAAGTAAATATGTAAATACAGGGTAGTGTCTGGGACTTCATAGCTGTTCAATAATCTTTTAATTTCGTTCCTACCATCTGAATGACTAACCGAGTCTATATGTATTACACCACTCATAATAGCTAGTTACTTAGACTTGATCAGTTTATAATAATGGCAGTTTGCCAAAACACCAAAATTGTTTTCTTTTTCATTTCCTTTTAATTTTTTTTGCTTTTAATACTTATAGAATAAGAAGTTATTTTGTATTCCATTTACTTTCATATCCATAATCCATTGTGTGGGCTTTGAAGTCAAATAGATCTAAGTCTGCAATCTACCTTGTCACTTATTGCCTGAGCCCTTGTGCAAGTTACTTCATCTGTACAAACTCTATTCGCTGCACTTTAAAAATGAGTATAATAGCTATCAGCCCACAGAGATATTAGGAGGGCTGGGTGAAATAATACCAGAATGCCACTGTTAGTAAGTGGCATGGCTTATGTCAGCAATCTATGCCAGATACTTCTTGTGCTTTATACCTGAAAGATGGTAAGGCTGGCAAAACTGCCAAAGAGACTTGGTTCACAGCCTTGACTGCTCTTCTTCATCAAAGTCAAGGTTGTAATGAGAAAGAATAGGACTCAAGTCTGGGATGGGGACATTTGGGGGGAAAATCTGAGAACTGAAAATCCCCAGAGTCAAAAGAACCCAGTGACTGGTAGAAGTCCTTTCCCACTCACAGGAGAAGAACAGTTTCTGCTCACCCAAAGGTCCTGCTGAGTGCAAGTGTCTTCCCGAGACAATGTTCATCTTTCTCAAGATCTGTCCCTTCATTACTTATTGCCTGCCGGTGAGCAAGTGTCAAGATGAAGCATAGCTCAATGAGGAATTACAGTCCTCTTAGAGAAAATAGCTTTCACATCAAAAATTGCTTCATCTTGCAAAAAATAGGGACAAGACCTATATATGTAGCAGTGTTTCTTAAGGGTGTAGGTCTAGAAGGGACAGATTACAAAGGCAAGTAGATTACAAGGTTAGTCAGAAACAGGTGCACTCTCCCATGACTGACGGTTCAGTGTTGTACCAATCAACCACTGCTGCAAACAACCAGAGTCTCAGTGACATTCTGCAATAAACATTTATTTCTCACTCTACTGAGGTTTGTCTCATATAACCCGGGTGTGGCTGAGCCTGCTCAAAGCTGTGGGCAAATCTGCAATTCATGTCTTTCATATTCCTTGGACCAATGGTTATTCAAGGCCTTGTCTTGAATAATCCAGAATAGGAGTTAAAGAGGCCAACTCACGTGTACATTACACTTTCAAGCATCTGACCCTATTATGTTCAGTAACATCCCAGTGGCCAAAACAAGTCAGGTAGCCAAGTCCAGAGCCTAAATATCCCAAACAAATTTCCTTTTTACTATTTACATATGATATGTTTGCCCACATAGAAAACAAATATACTAGACTAAAAGAGGCCATGATAAAATGTTGAGATATAAAATCAGGATTCACAGGGAATTACATTATTATTCACTAGCAAATAATTTTTAAATATTATCTGTACTGATAAAAATTTAGAAATAAAGATAATACTCTGTAAAAAGATATCATTTATGTTTGATAGAAGAAGGAAAACATGTAAAGATACAAATACCATGGGGCTGGGGATTTAGCTCAGCGGCACAGCGCCTGCCTGGCAAGCATAAGGTTGAGAGTTCAATTCCCAGTATCGGAAAAAAAAACAAAAAAAAAAAGACAACAACAAAAAAAAGATACAAATACCACGAAAGACAAACGGGACATGGGTGGAGAACATTTGGAAACATTTTAAAAGATGTATGTACTTAAAAACATATATTCAAGCTGGGAAGACTCAAAATCATAAAAGATATCTTTTTTTTTTTTTTTTGTCTTTTTGAGACAGGGTCTCACTATGCAGCTCAGGCTGGCCTTGAGCTCACTTTGTAGCCCAGGCTGGCCTTGAACTTGCAACAATCACCCTGTCTCAGCCTCCCAAGTGCTGGGATTACAGGCGTGTGCCACCACACCCCGCAAGATATTATTTCTTTACCAAAAAAATCTCAAGTTCAATTTTCACAACTCAAGCACAATGTTTTTGATGCTTTGACAATTTATTTTAAAGTTTATACAAAAAGCACTACAAAAAAATGAATAAATGTAGCCAGGCTTGGTGGTAGCCTGTGATTCTAGCTCTAGAAGGGTGTGATAAGAAGATCACAAATTGGAGTCTAGCCTAGGCATCTTAGTGAGACCCTGACTCAAAGTAAAAAATTATAAAGTGCTAGGAATGTAAGTCAGTTTAATCCTCCCTAACACCACAAAAAAGGGTAAATTTGACTGCATTCAAAACTGTGGGAGAAGTGCATCATGATCATGAGTTCCTGCAGGCAGTACAAGCATGAGTACATGCATACCAAGAGGGCTGTCACACTGAGGTACCAGAAAAGTCTCAAGGCAGGAAGTAAAAATGGGAAACTGAGGCCTCATACCGACAGGGTGCAGCTATGCAAAGCTCACCCAGTCTTCTGCGGAATGGGACTTAGCATCAGTGGTTGGAGTACAGGTGGGAGTGGGAGGACAAAGCAGTACTCAGGCCATCACATGAGAATTAATTTTACCCAGTTAGTTGTAATTTACTTATGTTTAAAGATTTTTATGTACTTTATCGGTATCGGTAGCTTGATAATTCCAATAGCACAAAATGCTTGTGGTTTCGCTGGAATTTACTCACAGTGGTTAGTTTTCTTATGTGTTTAGTAAGTTTGATTCTGGACGCTTTGGTTCATCTGTTTCCAAGAAAGCTTAGCAGCCTAAATTGAAGATGCTTAGGTCTGGAGAACTACGTTTGTTTATATTAGAAGGAAGGAAGTATTACTGAGTAGCTTTCTCTTTCATGGAAAGTTCACGGGTTCATCCTGAAGGTTTCTATTCACCTCTCCTGTCTTTCCCATTCCCCAAGGTGTAGCTTTCCAGTTATAGCATGAATGCAGACACTTGTCTTAAAACCAAAGTTATTTTGAATTTGTTCATGGTTCCATTTTCTACACATATTTTTGTGCTTTGGGTTGGAAGTGGCAGTTTTGTTAGAGTTTTCTTTTTTTACTGCAAGCCCCAAAAACCTGATAAAATGTTTTATGCAGACTCATTATTTTCCTAGGAGGACCCTTCAGAGAATCTGGTCTGCCATCCGGACAGAAGCCAAAGCTCTGGGTACATAACACTGGACAGAGCCTCGCGGCCTGGTTAGCTGCTCTCCAACTATATCAGTACCTACTTCCTTTGTATAAAACACGTCACACTGGCTGTGAGCCAGACCTTGCCCTTTACCATGACTTCTGTCCTTTTAATCTCTTTAGTGTAGAATTTTTAAAACATCTTGCTCATGCCTTTTCTTCTTTACTGAAACTACAGTGATTTCTCTGCTAGTTTTGTTCTAACAGCAAAAAGCAAATGTGCCTAGTCTTCATAACTTGTACCTTGATCTAATTAAATTATATCATAAGATAAGAACAGAGAACTGATTACAGTGTTGTGAAACAATAGCGAAGCTAGTTAGTAAATTCTAAAACACTTTATAATTCTGTTTGCACTTTTTAATTCTGGCCAACAACCAGAGAGAAAAATGAAAAGAAGTTCGCTACTGAAATGTAAGCACAGATCATCTCAACTTTAAATCACATACTAACCGACTCCTCCAGACTACAATGCTTTGCATGCTTTGCTCTAGCTCTAGAAAATACAGTGTTCTCTCTCCCTCCTTCACTTGTATCCTTCAACCAACAACTGAGGAAGTAGGAAAACACCGCGATTCTTTTTCTGCTCCTCTTCACATGTAAACCAAATTCTGTATCTTAGGATCTGACTCCACTTAGCACCCTAAAAACACTTTAGTTAGGACACATCTTTTCTTCCCTCCAGTGCTAGTTAAGAGGATATTTTCTCCCATCCAAGTACTAACCAGGCCAGACATTGCTTAGATTCCAAAATCAGGCATTTGCAGGGTGGTATGAGTATAGACAAAAAGAATATTTTCCTAAGCTCCAGCTGTCGGTGGCTTCCTTGTAGAGTTTAACTCTTTTTGGTAGTTGAACTAAACAAAGAAAAGATAAGAGTGAACAATATGATCGGAAGTAAAAACTTCATGTGTCATCATCTCTTAAAAACTATTATCTACACCATTTTTCTCCAGTTCTTAAATTACAAGTTATAAAAATATGCATAATTTTGCCTCCCAATGCATTTACTGTACTTCAGAAGATGAAGTAATAAGTTCATGTTAGAAAATAGAACTCATTTTCTAAGCTTCTACTCTAAATAAAGGAAATTCTAGCTAACACCATTACTAAAAGTAAAAACTAGAGAAAGTATTTTCAAGGATATGCTTAAAAGAAAATGGATCTACCAAGACATGAAGATTTATTGGGACAGAATTTGGGAAAGGATAGAATTCAGGGAATATGAACTGAATGTTGGAGGCTGATTTCCTCCAGGAACAAACAGTTCCGCATTAGCAGTGGAGCAACTGTTAGCCTGAGAACCATGCTTTTGCAAACTAGCAGAACCAGTAATCAGGAATTGGAGTTTTGATCCTGACAAATAATCCTGATAATTCTCCTAGCTTTTATGCTTCTATATACCTTTGGAACTAATGCTGATGTGGAAATAAAGGACCTTCACAGTGACTAAAACTTATCTTCAAATTAGGAAATCCTTGAAATAGCACAGAGTGAATTTTAGATTGCTAGCTCTGTGCAGACACTGGGCAAATGCAAAGGCAAAATTTGAAGCCTCAAATATATTTACAAAAGTAATTTTTCAAAATTGATTTCTGGCCTACACTGAAAAACAGTGTCACATTAGAAAAGATAATAACATGTTCAAGGAAATGAGCAGAAACAAATCAAGAAACAGGTATTGGCAATATGTAGACTTAAAAGATACAAACTGTAAAATGACTGTGTTTTGTGTGTTTAAATA